CCTAAACGGAGGCATAAAGTTATTTTAACCTCCTGCCACTGGTCGCACATTACAACTGCATTCAAATTTGACGGATTCGCTGAATTATAAATGACTCACAACTCAGCCGTGAGGGCACACGGTGGAAGGCAGTATCAGCATTATGTGTTCAGATTAAGGGGCCCCAAGAGACAATTATGGTCAAAGTGTATTATCAAAAAGCAAAGAAAAGTGGGTTACAATTTTGGTAGAATGGCTTTGACCTAGATTTCTCTTGAGACTACCATTTTTTCATCACACTGAACCAGACTGCCTTTGAGTAAAACATTATTTCTGTACGCCATGCATCACTTGAATAAAATATCACTTAATCACAATAAATCATGCACAGAAGCAGACTCCTAAAATCTATCTGACTTTATGGACATAACATAATGAGGAGAATATAGAGACTTGCTCCCACATCACACTCAACATCCTCAATGACCATTATTATTGTAAAGTGCAATCTAGTTGTGTGACAGCTGAGAACATTTTATTTTGAATCGTGCTATAGGCATCCTGCATCGGTGCTGAAATTACAAGTTGAAGTTCAGCAAAAAATGTCACATTTAGAGCATCAAGGCCGCAAGTTTGGGTCGTGCTGATTGATCAATCATGTGGCCTGAAAACATGAATAATCCTGTTTCATATGTGCTTTATTGGACCAATGTGTGAAAAAACATTTAATTTCTAACTAATTTGTGATACAAAAAGTGGTACAACAATATTTTATCCTGTTTTGTTTTGATGATAAGGCTGATGATATTATTAATCCAATGTAAAGACCAAAACCAACAATAATGAATCCTACTAACAAGCATAGATCCTTCTGTGCCGGAGGACTAAAACTAAAAACACATAAAGTCACACAGTTGCGCAGACTGACTTGTTCTTTCTTTACAATTGGCGTTTGCTCCTGCCACCCTCCTGGTGCTGTAAACAGTAACAAGCGTAGAAAATGTGTCTGCTGAACAAATGCAACATTTACGCCTGGTGGACTAACCTTTACTAAAAACTACAGCACCCAGCTGTTCTGGAAAATTATTGATCTCTTTAAAAAAAAAATGAAACTATGTCTTTGTGACCCATTTTAAAAGATTTATGCCCTCAATGGAACAAACAGGCTCGAGGCTGAGCGTCACAGGCACAGCAGAGGTGTCAGACAGTAAAGACAGACTGTTGTCAGTAAAATATTGAAAAGCTCCAGACTTCTGCTTTAATTTTATGTATGCAGGTAAGTTATGCATAGACAAAACTTTGTAATCTAAATGTGCACCCTCTTGTTTAGACAATTAGCTTTTTAGATTAAAGTAAAGAGGACTGTTTTGTTTTCTGAGTTCCAATTTAAAATGAGACATACAAGAGATGTAATATGTGGGCAACATTTTTCCAATTTTACTCTTTAATTATCTAATAATAACCAGTTATGCAGGCTCAGATATCAACAGACATCTGTTCTCACTTTTAGGAACAAGGATGTTTACACCATTTTCTCAAACTTTTTTGTTTTATTTCCCAGTACTACTCTGCAGGTACCCAGTAACTACAAAAATACGGACAGTGAATATGCAGATGTGAGTCGTTTCTTCCCCATAATTCAGTTTTCTTTTGTTGGAACTGCATTCAAATAGTATTTTATCAACATCTGATGATTCAAACACTGATATTACACCCTGAATCATGTGCTGTGTTTTAAGTATCACCAAATTTAGTCTTGACAGGCATTATTTTACTTTCATAGCCTGCGTGTGACAAGATGGGCATCGACTATGTGAACACGCGTCAGGGAAGCCTCTGCCTTTGCACCTTCAGACCTACACATGCTAAATCGGTATGGACAGAATGGCCCTTGGGGGTTTTGATGCATTACGGACAGCTTGGCTTCATACATCCTCATGCGGGCTATGTACACACAGATAAGTTGCATGCAAACAGAGGAGAAGCCTGAGAAAGCCAGCTGCCTCACACTTAATTTTTCACAAGGGGATCATTTCAAGATCTTCAGAAGACTGCTATGCTGCTGAAACATGCGTCAAAACAGATCTTTTTATATAGCAGCTTAGCTGCACTGAATAATTTAATGTCAAGTTAACTCTGGATGATACAGACCTGCAGATGCATAATTAGCAGATAAGTTTGGCCTTAAATAGACATGATCATATATTTAATTACCTGTGTACCAAGCGGGCTGCACTTTGCGCTGTTTTGTTGTCAACTGTAAAGCAAGAAATGTCATTTCAGTAAAAATTTTCCATGTCTTTTTTCCTTTTTTTTTTCTTTTTTAGATGAAAGGCCAGACTCTCACTTCTATTAGAGATGTTTTTATAACAGGTTATATCACTGGACTATAAACCAGAAGGACACCTGAGCTGCAGGACTGAGGTCAAGTGGTGGTCTAAGTGTGGAGCCCTGGACTCTTCAGTTCCAGCAATCATACTCACTTAAACAGCAAGAGTGACTTTGATAATTAAAATTTGGTTTGGCAAAGTCGAGCAGAACACCGGAAGTATTAGGAAAAACACCATCCACTGTGTATGCTGTCCGATCATTTAGGAAGAGACTGTTCAGAGAGAAGCACGTGTCCCCTCCTCCTGAACAGATCACAAATGGAAAGGCACATGATCAACTCATGAATGTGGAGAATTTGTTCATCTGAAAGTGAAGTATTTTCTCAGAAGCAGCTTGCAGTGTTCTCTTGTATTCCCTACTTACACAAAAAAGGTCAGAGTGAAAGGTCACATGGTAACATCCTAATTTCTAAGGATGATTCATTAAAGTTTTATCTCATCTAATCATCCGAGAGACCTGCTCTAATTGAGGAAACAATGGGATAATAATCTAAGCCCAAGTCTTTTCCGGTGTGGCGTCACAATAGAGGATTTCTCTCCCAGTGATCTGTTCAGGGACAGTGATTTGAAAATGAGGTGACGTGAGTTGACCACGAGCAGTCCTTCGCTCATCTGGCGGTGTTTTCTATTTGTGTCAGGCAACATGTGTTTCTCATGATGGGACCTGACACCTCCCCTGGAGCAGGATGGAGCATGAAGAGCGACAAAGTGAGGAGGCTATAGGAGAAACAATTTCACCCTGGCTGCAAATTATGCTCTAATCCACTAAAATGCCCATGGATAATATGTGAGTTTTGGAGGAGGGTACTTATTCTGAGAAAAAAAGAAAAAAAAAATTCACCTTGTACTCCATGATGACATTTACAAAATCAAATTTTCTCCTATGCTCTCTCTCAGATTTGATGTTTTTACTTTAAGTGCACAGTATCTGCTAAGCCACTTTGTCCACAACACTGTATGTCTGGAAGTTTCTCTTTCTTGGGCTGAATGTCTGGGTGAAATGGATTTACTGTTAAGGATTAATGATGGGAGTTTGTAAAAGGTTACTTAACATATACGCTGCCTTACTTAAGAGGAAAAGCGCCAACTTTGTATTATTTTACAGTATTGCACTATAGCTGGAGCAAGAATTCCAAAGAAACAAACGAGTTAAAAATTCAAACTGTTTAACATTCTAACAGCTCATCTGATGTCGGATTAAACTCTCTGTCTTGAAAGCGTGGCTTGGCGATGGGCCCCTCTGTAGAGAGGTGGCCAGGGCACCCAGTGGCAGAGGTAGTGACGTACATATGTGCAGCAGCAGCAATGAATCACAGAGAGACAATACTTCTCTCTTGGCCTGAGGTGTTTGCAAATGCGCATTCACTGAATACAACCCAGGTCTGATGGGAAAAAGCTTTAGAATTATTGTGCAATGTGCAGAAACAAAGCCAGTTCTGCAGCTTGCACCAAAATGTACCTGTTGTACCTGCAATGAAACTATATTTACTCACTGAATTATTGACAACTTTTGCACTATGGCACCTTAACTGTAGCCACTCACTGTAGTTTGTTATCTCATGAGGGACATTTTTTTGATGAGCTCTAAGCAGGGGGGCAAAAAAAAGCCCAATTCCAAACTCATCTTGCTTTAATACTGCCCTTTAACTTCTTAGAATTTTCCTCCTATAACCCAAGAACCTTTGCAATTATTTTCACCTAACTCATCCCAGTGAAAATGCCAGCAGGTGTGGCACCTATAGGCCTATTCTGAAAGCAACAGAGGTAGACGCTCGTGCACGCGCGCGCACACTCACATATGACTCATCTCATCTAAACTAAAGCACTTTGTCAGAGGCGTCCATTCACGTTACACCCATGCAAGAACGCGCAGACTCAATCTCAGCTTGGAGCGCGACACTTATAGTGACGGCGGCTATATAAGTCCATTCAGCATCTCCCCTTTAAGTAACTATATACTTGTTTCTTCAAAGAAGTGAAGGAGGGCGGCATCTCGCCAACTACCTGGCAACCTACACGACTGTACTGGACCTCCTCTAAAGACTGAAGGTAAGAAAAGCTTCATTTATTTTACCCACATTTTGAGTTACTCTACTTGCCTTCTTTGCCATCTCACACATTCTCTTTCTTTTTGGTGCACGATTTAACTAAATGCATTTGATTAAAGCGCTCTTGTGCTTTGGAAAACGTTCTGAGGATGGATTTGTAGATCACAAAGTGGATTCTCATCCTCGAGAGTAACATTTTATTTTCTTCCATCATCTTGTTTGGAGAAAATATAACGATTGAAGATAATAATCCTTAACTTCCATCTGCACTAATCCACAAACCCTTTTTATACTGTGCATACTGCTTTTTACGCGCAAATATTCCACATTACGGTTCAATCTCACAACACCCAGTCGGATTATTAACAAGAGGTGATGATGGATCACAAAAAATATCTCACAAAAAATAATGTGTAACACTGACAGTGTTAGTTATCAACCTGTTACATTATTTTAATGTCTGTTTTACGTGCGTAAATGTCTTTTTACGCAGCACATTTCACACTAAAGGTTGTGATAAATCCCACAATTTAATAATGCAATAAATGTCTTTCCCCTCTCAGATTCCTGCTGATATCCTGACATGAAGCTCAATTTACTTGGTACCACCGTGATTCTGCTAGTTGCCTTCTTACCGCGCTACGAATGTCGGGCTATTGAGAGCCCTGGCGGTACCCTGCGCGTCCCAGCTCCCCAAACCCAAAACTCCCAGCAGCAGCAGCAGCAGCAGTCTGGTCCCATTCTGGAGCGGCTTGGAGAGGAGTATTTCATCCGGCTGGGCAACGGGGACTCTAACTCTTTCCCATCCACGTCCATGTATCCCGGCGGATCACCTGCCGTCTACAACAGAGCGTTACAACTCCAGCTGACACGGCGCCTTTTACAGGGAAAAGTTGGGAACATCAGGGCGCTCATAAGCGGCTTCGGAGACCGCGGGGACGAATCGATGGAGAGGGGAAGGAGGTCCGAGGACCCACCGATATCCCTGGATCTGACCTTCCACCTGCTCCGGGAGATGATGGAGATGTCCAGGGCGGAACAGCTGGCCCAGCAAGCGCAAAATAACAGAAGAATGATGGAGCTCTTCGGGAAATGAAGACTTCTTTCCAGTCCGCCAAAGATCTCCCTTCCTATTCTTTTCTTCTTTTTCTTTCTTTTTTTTTCTTTTTTCTTTTTGTGTTGCATTTTTACCATCAGCACAAAACATGCTCTGTACAATATAGTGCTGCTTTTATCACTATTGTTTATAGCTTTAACCTCAAACTATGGAGCATAAACGGGCTTGACTTATAATGAGCCGATTGTACCTTGCCATTTTAATGTTGGTGTCAGATCTGTAGAGTTACGCCGTTCTTCATGTTTGAGATGACATACTTTTGGTTCAGACATGACTTGCATTGACAAAATTGGCATTTTGTTTTAAATTATGAATCACTGTATTTATGATATTTATGTTTGTTAATAAACTTATGTGCAACCAGTCATTTTCTGTTGTGCAACAGAACGTCTTATATCTATATTTTTTAATAAAAAATTCAAAGCAATGCTTACACTTCTCTGTGGATATCCTTACATATTAGTTAATAGTAGCTCCCATTAAAAACTAACTACTCTCACTTAATTAAAAATCTGATTAAAGTACACTTTCCTAAGGTTTCTTGACATTTTTAATCTTACACTGAAGAAATTGTATATATGTGTAGAGTAAAAAAGCAAAGAGTTGGTTAGATAGAGCACAAATGGCCACTGCATCTTGAGTCTTGCCTACACAGATATTGATCCAGAGACAGAGAGAGGGAGAGGTTTTTTCTGAGTGAATACAAAAATTGTATATGGTGTAACCATGGCATTGCTCTGGAGCCAAGTCGTGGGTTAACACCGTGCCTCCTCTCAAACACACACACAAAATCTGTAACAAACAATTTGCTAAAGATGTGAAGAAGCATGCTGGAAGAGCGCTCACAGCCATTCAGGTGAACATTCGTACAGCATCCTTTCTTCTAAACCCTTAATCCCCAAGAGGCAATTCTCATTATACCAGCAAGAGGCAACCACAGATAGCGCAAAGATGCACCGCTGACACCTAATGAGTGTGAAAGACACTGCGTGCCTGTGTATATACGTGTGTTTGTGTGTATGTGTGAATGCTGATCCTTGACCCACAGTGTCAGGGTAAACTAAACAAGAGCTGTGGGTGGTGAGTCATCCTATTCTGTTTGGCCCACGTAGCAACTTGGGGCTTAGTGCTGCATTGAGCCCATTTGTAAAGGATCCAACTCACTGAGAGATGGTGTGCAATAATTAGATGGGACTCAGTGGTGAACTACCTCAGTGGTGGAGCTGCAGCAAGGTGAGACCATTGCAGGGCGGCATATAAGCTGACTGACAGCCTAAGACTCACTGTGTGTATAGCAAGCAGTGTGCAGGACAAGTATCAAGACCATACAGTACAGAAGGATCTTCTAACTGTGAACTATAAAAAGGACACTAATGCGTATAGCTGGATTTCCTTTGACAGAAATAAGTGAAAAGGAGTTTAAAGAAGATATAAAGGGAGCAGAGAAGGAGAAAAATAATATTTGTTTTACACATGTGCACACACAGACAGTGTATTCAGACACCTGAAATACAGCAACGCATAAAGATGAAATAGTATTTTGGATAATTTATGTCAACGAAGACTTAAGAAATAGTAAACTTTGTTCAAATCAGTTTTAATGTCACATAATATACAATATACCGTAAAATGGCAAAAAGACGTTTTGTCCATAATAGGAAAATATAATTGTGTTACACGACAATGAATACGACACATCGTTTAGGCAGTTGCGTGTAGGAAATACTGAAATGTCACAGTGATAGCTTTTTTTTTTTTTTTTTTAACTCCGCTTCCGCACTCATGAAGTTATATCAGTCATAAAAAAGTATATGACAGAGAGGAAAACCTGAGGCCCTCTTGTCACGCTCTCTAATGATGTAGTTTAAGCAGTCGCAAAAGGTCAGCTACATAAAAAATGCATGAATACGTCTGAGTTCTGGAAACAGCCAACGGAAACCCATCGTCGGTTTGCCATTAAGCATGTCCAACATGAAAAGGAAGAAGCAAAACATGTATTTAATGAGAGAAAACGAAATCAGATCAGTCAGTATGCAGTGATGCACACTATCACTGTCACAATACACGAGAAAGAAGCGAATTGAAACTTCTGTCTCTTTCTTTTGGATCTGCAACTCAGGCTTTCCCTTCGGCAGAGATCTAAATTTGTCTCGTGGTTCCCCAGTTTGGGAGAAAATGTATCACAACTGACCTGAAATCAAACATCTCGGAGCAACAATTATTCTGCTCCTGGCTTTGGTGTTGTGTGGCGGCTGTCAGCTAGGTCGAGGCAGCGCTCTTGGCTGCGCTGGGAGAGGAGCTGATCTGCTGGGGGGCAGAAGGTTGGCTGGAGGTGGCAGTAACTGCAGCACCTCCAGAAACAGTCTGGGCCCCTTCTCCTTCTGCTGCAGCTCCCTCCGCATCCTCATCCTCATCATCCTCGTCCTCGTCATCTGTAAGAGAAGTTAGGTGGCAATAAGTAGAACTACAAGGCTGAGCTGGAAGTAGCAAACTGCATCAAATCTATCCCTTCACCTTGGGCGAAGTCAATGCTGCGCAGAGCCTTTCCCTCTTTCTTGAAGTTGACGCTGTAGTGATCCATGTTCTCGTAGCCGCGCTCAACTTTATCCAAGTGTGCCGTGCTGGATGCTTCTGCAATCCTGAGCGCATTAGGTGCAAACGGTATATTTATAGGAAAAGTTCCAGCCTCACATAGTCAAGGTAACACTTTCTAAATACACTCAATCTGTGATGTTTAGCACGTTTCACAAGCTATTTCAAGACGCCACAGCAAAAGACAGCGATGTGCATCATTTCACACAATTACTTCCCACCGCTAACAAAGTGTGACCTTGTTGCATTAGAGTTATGGTTTTATATGCAGACCCAGATGTAAATTTGATAATGGTTGACAAGCATATTTTTTTTTAAAAAGCCCTGCAAACAGGTAGAAAAAATGTAGAAATATCCAGCCGTGGTTTTTAACAGCGTTATATTAGATTGGATTTTGACCTCACAACAACAGGATGTTATCTTTTTCACAGAGCAAACATTTATCCATTAACAGTGAAGTGATTGGTGCATTCAAACATATACTCACTTTTTGAGGAGAGGCTTTGTGTTCTGAAAAATCGAATCAGTTTCATTCAGTAAATACATTTTTATAGCTGTAACCAATTTATGTATAGTTTTACTCGTGTGGAAGTCAAAATTAACTCTGACCTGTAGAAATAAAGCCATTTCTGGCTCCTCCATAGTCTGGATCCCCATCTCCACAATCTTACAGCTCTCCTCCAGATGGTCTCCATATTTCTTCGTCAGACCCCGGATATAGTTCAGCTTCTCTTCCTGTTCGGCCGTCACCTTCTGACTCATCTCCCTCTTCCTCGCCTCCAGGACAGAATACAGATGGTCAAACTTCTCGCACACCAGAGTCTTCTGCCTCCGACCATTCTCCTGGACATACATGAGTGAGACAAACAGAAGGAGACACATTGGGAAAAGACACATTACTAATCTTTTATTGTGGTATTGTGGGTGAAAAAAGGGTGTAAATAGAGTTTCGGGTTGCAACAAGGTTTAGAATATTCAAAACCAAAGAAAATGAAGCAATAGCAGTGTAAACAAATATTGTGGTTAGCTTGTCTTAGGTTCATCCGGTCGTGCCATATGTGCACTGAGGATAGTGATGCTCATTCCGCTCGTCCGTCCTGAGTGACGCCAAGTGAAGGGGAACACATGGGGGACTGGAACCACTCCAGCTTCCTCTCTACTACGTCCAACCATCGAAAAGACATACATTCCCTCCCCATCAATTACACTGCTTGTTTTTGTCAGTGCTAGTGGGCCAGAGGCAAAATGAGACTCTCTGTCGAGTGTATGTGGAGTCAACAAAAGAGAAAATGTGAAAAAGAGAGACTGTGGCACCGAAACATTCATTTTTCACTTCCTGCCTCTCTGTCTAAATCTCTCAGACCGATAAAAGCAGAGAGCGCGTCGGTGACAAGGACACATTACATCAGTTTGTACGTCTGTACAGGTGCATTAGTGTGTGCACAGAGTGAGGCTTGCTGTGTGAGTGAGCGGCCCGACACTGCAGCAGTTGGACACTGACCTCTATGGCACGACAGGCTTCCTCTAGCTGACTAATGATGCCCTGCATCCTGTCGTTGTTACCAACCATCATGGCAATCCCGTCACTCAGCTCCGTCTAGGGGGCAAGGACATGGCAGAGTGGGTTACTGATTTCAATTTTGGACAAATTTCTAACAAATATAAATGCACTTCATGATAAAACGTGTTTAGTTTGACGGCATTACTTTTTGACTCATGGCTGACAGTATTCATAGCCTCCATGAGTATTTCAGGCCTCACCTTCTTGGTCTGGTAGATGCTGCTGATCGGTGCCACCTCACAGTCCTTGTGGGCTCCAAACACCTTGCACATGGAGCATGTAGGCACACCGTGGGTTACACAGAAAATGTTGATCTTTTCATCCTCGTGAACATCGCACATGGGCGTTTCTTCTTTCCGCTCCGGCGCTGGCTTGCTGCTGTTGAGGTGTATTGAAAACAGTGGTACCTTGCTGTCACGCTGCACATTTCAATGCATACTGATGTGACATGTAATGTCAGTTTGATAATGTCACCGTTATACATGTCAGCAGTTTATTGATGATCCATCAGTCTTGCCTCGCTGTACACATGAACTGTCAGCACTGTAATCAATAGGTCGCCATTAAGCTGAGTAGTATACAGGTGAGGGTGCAAGTCTATAGCATTCTGTTTGATATCTCCTCGCTTCTTCCTGGAACAAGCTGGAATATGTTGCTGGGGAGAGGAACGTCAGCTATGCCCTGCTTAGGATGTTCCCACCACAACCCAAAACAGAGGAAGAAAATGGATAGATTTCTATCTGTCCTACATGAATTATCCAAGATATTAGTGAAATGTCAAGAAAATATTACACTTGATTATCTAGAACAATACCACAAAATCTCG